TTCCCCCTTTTTTTTTTTTTTTTTTTACTACAGAAAAATACTAGAGCAAGTCTTCTCTTGCAAAGAACTCAAGGAAGCCCACCACAGGGCAGGATGGTTTTAACACTCAACATTTTGAAATCTCTGGGTTTACCCTGTGAGTCATGCGGCCCTAGTACACATGCATGTTAAAGCCAGATAGAAGCCAGCTACACATTACACACATTATGCAATTAACTGGAGAATGGTGCAATAAATTTAGACCAATCACACGTGCAAAGTAATTATCTTACAATTACCTGGTGAATCGCACAATAAATTTAGACCAGCCACACTGTGAAAAGTAATTATCACAAATAAAAATTACTATCCCGCTGTAACAAGAGCCAAGCAGCTATAAAGTTAATGCTTGAAAATTATAACAATTCTATAGCTGGTTTCTAGACAGCTTTTAATTTGAACATGTACCAGGGCCCAGGAAGTCCCTACATATTTTCAAGCACTCCCTTCAGAACTGTGGTTGGCTCTTTTTATAGTTGGATAGTCCTTTTGATCCTGGGATAATTACTTTGCCCACCTTTGGCCAGTGTCAATTTATGGCACAATGAATTCTATGATATATCTAACGTGTAGCAGGGGCTTTGGTTGCACAACTCCTAGTGCTAACATGGGGTGGCAGCCCATAGTGCTTTTAGGGGCCCTGCTATACATTCAAATCAAAGCTGGAATGAAATCAGCTATAGGCCTGTTAAACATTTTCAAGCACTAATTTTATAGCCGGTTGGCTCTTTTTAAAGTTGGATAGTCCTTTTGATGATGTGATGATTAGGACCTTCCTAAAACTGGATAGAAACCAGCTATAAGGTTATTACACATTTTCAAGCACTAACCTTACAGCTAGTTGATTCTTTTTATAGAATCATTTTTATTGTGTGTTAATTACTTTGCCTGTTTAGCCAGTCTAAACTGATTGCATAATTCACCAGTTAATTGCATAATATATATACCATGTTGCAGGGGCCTTATACCTTTGCACCTACAGCTGGTCTGCATTTATTGCATGATTCTTCAGTTCACTGTGTGATCAATAATTTGCATCTGTTGCTGGTCTACATTTATTGCGCGATTCACCCATGCATTGAGTAAATGTAACATGTAATAGAGGCCTAGACTTTGCACCTCTGGCTGACCAAAAGGTATTCTGCCATTCACTGGTTCATGGTGTCATAAGTGCCAACTTTTATTTTCACCATGGGTGGGGCGTTAAGATGATGGACATGTGGAAAGTTTTACGCATTTCAGGTGACAGCCCTTTTCCCAAGGGGGGCCAGTGTTCTTAGGCCCCCATGTACTCAGCACCTCTGCTTGGTGTGATCATTACTTTGCATGTGCAGCCTATCTACATTTATTACATGAATAACCATGAAATGCACAGTAAATGTAATGTGCGGCAGGAACCTTATAACTTTGCACCTGTGGCTGGTTTAAAGGTATCTCACCCTTCTCTAGTTCATGGTGCGATCACTCTTTTGCACCTGTGGCCCCTCTACATATATTGTGGGATTCATCCATGCATAGCGTGATAAATGTGACAGGTGGCAGGTCCCTTATAGCTTTGTCTCTCTGCCTGGTCTAAAGGTATCCTGCCATTCCCCAGGTCATGGTGCCGTCACTTCTTTGACCCCTCTACATTTACTGCATGATTCCCCAGTTTGTGGTGCCATTGTTCCTTTGGCCCCTCTACATTTATTGCCCAATCCCCCACTTCATGATATGATCACTCCTTTGGCCCCTCTATGTTTATGATGTGCGATTCTACATTTCATAGTGTGATTGGTCCTTTGGCTCCTTTACATTTATTGTGCAATTACCCAGTTCATGGTGTGAACACCCCTTTGACCCTGCAACCCATTTAC